TTGAATTCGCCCCGCCGAGAGTTAGACAACGAGAATTTCAAACTAGTTCAAACCGAGCCACACTTGATAGCGTTAGAAAGTTCTCTCGATCGTTTGTATCGCGCTTCATTGTACGCCATACACTCAGACCGTTTCTCTTCTAGAGACGTACGAATGAGACCAAAACCAAAAGCCCGAATGTTCACGCATTCGTATTAAAAATCTTACTCGATAGAAATGAAAAATTCTGTGGACGAGACTTCGACATTCTCACGTTCCTCGAGACGCTTATTATTGTTCTAAAAAAGAAGCACGTCGAGATATGTGATCTAAAAAGTGGTATAAATTGATTTCCATCCAATTTATAAATCCATTTTTAAATTCGCGATAATCATAAGACGATTTCGATTGTATAACTGAGAAAATTCATAAATCACGCGCGATAATTTTTTTTTTTTTTTTTGAATGATAACATATTTGTGAAGATATCAAATTTTATTGTTCCCAGACTCATTGGAGGCGCCAGGGACGAGCAAGCGTTTTCAGATTCTCTACAGAAACGAGGAGGTGACACTCGGCACCTCGGTCCTATTCCGTGCTCACGTGCTCGTGCACAGTCACAAGATCGAGGAGGTGCTTTCCCGAACCCACTTCAATCTCGGCGTCGAGCTATGGTTCAGCGAGCCAACGCAGCCTGGGAACATGGCCTGCGTGTCCTCTAGGTGAGGCAACGTCTTGGCCCCATAGAAACGCGGCGATCGGCCGAGCGTGAGGCTTGGGAAACAGATTGCGGTTTCTGGAAGGGAGATTACTGCAAGCGTTATGGAAGAACCGTGAGAGAGAGTTTTTTAGTTTGTAACGTAAGAATTGGAGGGGAAATAAAGGGAAAGATAGGAGAGATACGTCATCTACGTGTCATCACTTGATAATCGATGGCTTGGAATTTTTTTTTAGCTTTTGAAAATAATTTTTAACATCCAGAAACCATTCTTTCGATGTAAAATTCTTCTTTATTATTATTTTGAAATATTAAGTGAAATATTAATGTTATTGATATTGATGTCAAAATATTATAACTTTTTGTTCCAACAGAGGATTAGGATTATTTTGAAAATAGCCTCTGTCCTGGCTTGGTTTAATTATTCTGTATATTTCTGTATATTTATCTTCGTATCTAAGGCTCTAGAAAAACTTTGATGATTCTGAATGTGCTCTTCTCTTTATTTTTCTCTTTTCCTTTTGAATTCTAATAAATCCATATTCATTTCCAATTATCACAATTACGTTACCATTAAATTGTAACAAAGATAAGATGATTCCAAATATCATTCTCATTAGGAAAAGGTAAAATATTCGCTCAGATTTTTCTCACAAGTCTAATAATAGATCGATAATCTTGGCCTTTCGTGTTCCATCTTGAAGATTTGACGAAGTTTCGTTTGCTTTTCGCTTTGTAGGGCGTTGCAGCTGAATTTCGCGCCCACGAAGGGACTTCACTATCATTTGCCGGTGCTCTTCGATTACTTTCATCTTGCCGCAGTCTCCATCACGATCCATGCCTGCCTCGTGGCCCTTCATCAACCCTACATCAAGTCGGTATCAAGTTGAAATCTTCTTCCGCTTCTTGTTTACACGTTTGTTAATTATGGAAATCTTTTTTTTCTCTCTCTGTCTATATGCTCGTTTGATCGTGTTTCTGTGTTATGCGTAGGAAGAGCATACTTCATTATGTGCAGAGCTGGTAAGTTTGTAATATGCGCATATATCTTATAACGAAAATATCGATGAGATTATCGATTATATGGGAATTTTTAAATCATTTTTTCCCTCGATTTTTTAAATTCTTATATTTTTATATCACTCAGAAATCTAACTTTCTGAGAAATTTTAAATTTTGAAATCGTCGAAATGTATGACGGAATTGGTTTCAATTTGATTTCTGTGCGATGACTCAAGTTTTAATATCAAATTATTAAAGATAATAATAAATTAATTATTTTTAAAATAATAAAAGATAAATTTACATTGTAATAAATTACCAAATTTATAATCTAAATTGAATTATATTCTGTGTAATGATAATTATCAAGAAAAGAATGCGTGGAAAAAATTTATATTCCCATTCCATTCAATTCCATTCGATCCCATCCCAAGATGATACTTAATTCCACAATTACTTTTTTTATTAAATTCGATTGAAAATCAAATTTGTTAAAAAAAAATCCAGGATCGAAAAGTTAAAACCGAATTACGAATCTAAATCACGTCCAATCCTTTAATCGCTTTAATCGAAAAATTCCATTCCGCCCGACTGGCCACTGGTTCGATTGTGTTTCAATTAACATCGCGGGTAGATAATTAACTGGCTAATATGCTTGCAGCGCGCCGCGTGGAGGGAAGCCGTGGCTGCAATTTAAACAGTCTGCAGCGAACGGAGACAACAATGCCCAGTTAGGAAATATCGTGAGTTTACACGAGCTTGGCTTCATTCAACCTATCCCAATCGATTTCACTCGTCGTGACACACACTCGTGAGAGGGAGAAAAAAAAGAAAAAAATATATCGAACGAGAAATTCATAATCGTTATAGGAAACGACGACGAGATGCGTCGGCTCGGCCACGAGAATCCAACACGCGAAACTGGTTCAACAGGAAGTAATCAGGTTACTTTTGGCCGCAAGGGAATCTTTGCTCAACGACTTGGCCGATTTAGCGCGGTTGCTACCTTCTTGCCAGCAAAGGGCGCTCGAGCTCGCTCAGAACACGCACAAAGAAATTACCAAGGTCGGTTCTCCGATATCGGAAGATAGGGAATCATCTTTTTCTCGTCCCTTTTCGAATTCTTTCTTTGGTAAAAATTTGCGCATATACAGTTGCAGATGATGGACACGGAGGAAACGGATATCGCTCAACTCTGCGCACAAAATATCGTTCTTTGGCAACACTTTCTGGAGGTGTTCTCAGGGCGTGAAGCCGTTCATCAGCACCTTGCGAGGGTCCATCATCAATTGAGGGTACAACATGATTCTTCTATATTATTTTTCTTAATTTTCCGATGTCTTTTGATTTTATAAGCGCGATAAAAATAATTTCGTGTGAAAATATTCCAAAAATATTTGAAATATTTTTTTTTTTTCGATTAAGTCACATTGATGATTTTGAAGAGATATTAAATCTCTTCAAAGAAAAAATATTTAAATTATTGTTTTCAATAAATTCAAATAGGTGAAACGTTTCGCGGAAGGTTTCTTCGTGTTGGAGAATCCCAGGACATCTGCGTGGGGTTGTTACGACGCGAATTATCAGTCGTATCAGGCAGTGAGCGAGGCTGCACGAAGATCGCGATATCTCGCTTCTTTGCCTCCATTGCCAGTGCATTGTCCGGAATTGGACGGAGATCTTCATTCCCTGCCTTTGATCTTCGAGGATCAGTACGTGGATATGAAACAGAGGCACAGAAACAGCGGTAAGTGTGTGCGGAGAAAAGAGATGAGCTCGATATCTGATTGTGCCAGAAATGGCTACAATCTTTCTGTACGAAAAATTCGTAAATTATTCATAACACTAATAATAATAAATCTTTTATCAATTGGATTTAAGATTTTCTATTGCTGTTCTGGAAATATTATTTAATTTTTATTCGTAAAAATAAAGAAAAAGTTTTCTCTTTAACTCTTTGACAATTATAAGAAATGACTGGTAACTAAAAATGGCACTAAAAATGTGTGATTTTTAACGTTGAATCTATTATTACGTATATGTTAAATAAAATATAAAATATAAAATATCATCTCCAATCTTTAAACACTTAACATTTCTTCTCTTCTTTGAATCACGATTCAAATATTCGCGATGAAAAAAATCTTTAAAAATCTACTACATTGCACAATCCCTAAACCTATCTTTTACCTACCGTTAGTCTTCAATTATGAATTGAAACATCTTTCCAGTTCCCGGTATAGACGACTGCAGTTGCGGAATCGCAGCGATTCTCGAGTCTCGATCCATGGGCATTTGGTCGCCAAGGAGCGAAGGTGCAGCCCAGGACATCGGATCTGTCCAAGGCCGGCTGACGCTCACGCCCTCCACGCTTCCTGCCAGGCACAGCAAATCCTTGGACCAACTCGGTCCGGATATCGCCCAACCAGTTCAACCAAGAACCTCGCCAAAGACTCTTCCTCGATCGGTGTCCACGCAATTGTTTCCAAGACAAAGAGGCGGAAACCGAAACGTCACACCGCCAGCGACAGTTCCTTCGAGAGGAAGGCAAAGATCGACAGCGCCGTCCAGTAGCACGCTTTTCCCTCCTTCAGGCCAGCAAGCCTGCTCCGCGCCAAATCCATCCCTTGGATCGACACCGGTCGTCCCCTTGCCACGTGCCAAATCCACGCAGATGTTGGTGCTACCTGGGCAACAGGCCGATCCTCAGAACACCTCGATCACGTCGCTCCTTGCGGCCATGTTCCCCGAACTGCCACCTGGTGGACAGTTGCCCGGTTACAGACCGTCGAACAAATCGTGCGAACAAACGCTCACCGTGCCCACGTGTTTGGGAACGATGGACCATGGCCAGATGACAGACTGCTGGAACGAGAATAAGTCTCCCAATGTTGCTGAAGGTAGGATGATTGTTTTTCATATTTCTTTTTTTTTCTTTCTTTTTCTTTAATTTTTTTACTCGTATCAATTAATATTTCCAAGTAATGATGTAATGGTTTAATGCAAAAATGAATGTATTATAGAATAATTGATTTTTATGACTTCCAAAGATTTATTATATAATATATTGTCATAATAATTTATATCGATGCATTATTCGAAATTCTTTATATAATATAACCATATAATATAATGCTCATGTTAAATATTAAATCATCTTATGCAACACGTTATGCCATTGTCAGCTGAGAAATCATTTATATTGCACGAGAAAATACTTTGTGTTTGCAATGTTTTATATTAATTTTATATTTATGTGTGCATATTGACATACTATGTAACAAAAAAAATACTGTTCCTTTAATATGTTGTAGATTCTCTATAATCCTCCATATTCCTTGCATTCTCTCTCTTCTCTTGTATATTCTCTCTGAATTTACGTTAAAAATTCCCTCTGTACTCTTGATTACTACACACGGTTCATTTTTAAAAGAACTCATTCCTTATATTACTATATTTATATTTGCATCCACTTGATCAACTTTTACATGTACTTAAAAAATTTGTATTTTTTTATCACATAGCTTAAGTCCTTTCTTCTTTACGTCTCCTCTTCTTGACAAATTTTAAAGAATTCTTAGAAAACTTTAAATTAACGTATATTTCAAAGTAACCATTATAATTTTTCTTTCAAATTACTTATTTTACTGAAATATAATTCTCAAGACTCAATAAATAAATAATCAACGATGAACGCATTCTTTCATTCTTACAGATTATCATTCCCTGGACACAAGAAGAATTCGCCTAGAGCCACGCAGCCATCGACTAGCATCACGCCAACCATTATCCACGACTACCAACGATCAAACCAACTTCCTCTCTAACAAGGCAAGCGTCAATGGCGACACCTTCTTCCCAGAGCAACAGCCTCTTCACACGGCTACCCTGGACAGGGTGACGTATCGTGGCAATTCACGCAAACAGACTCATCAAACGGGCGGCAAATACAGTCAAACGAACGGATTGGAGTCTCGTAGATACCACACGATCGGGAAGACCGGCTCAGGATTGAATCAACGGAACCGAGAGATCCAGGATTCGATGAATGGCGGAAATGGATTGCCTAGCAGTCACTCGATGATGGTCGATCCTCTCTACAAAAGGTCGAATTACACGTCGACTACCACGGATTCGTTCTTCTATCGCACCAACGGCACCAGCGGACGGACACACGGGGAGGCAGAGAGGCCCAGAAGACCGAAGAGCACGGAGAGATTGGTGGACGACGTCGATCGTAACGAGTATTGCGACTTCCGGAGGGAAAGGCCGAGAAGAAGAGAGGAGAGGGTTGCTGTCAAGTCGCCTCGAAACGGCGTGACACCGTGTTACGCCGGGGAGGAGAAGCACAGGAGGCAGCAGAACGAGGAGAATAAAATGCAGGAATTGACCAATGAGATGTTCTACAAGGTGATGACCGCGATGTCGGAGCCGAAGAAGGAGCAGCATCGAGCGACTGAGAAGAGGAAGGACAAGCACGGTCGAAGGCCGCATTCAGCTCCTGTGCTGGACATAGATCATCCGACTGAGGAGAGCAGGAAGTGCAGCCATCGAAATAGGAAACCGGCACCACCGCCTCCGGCTTATCAGGACCCCGCTGTCGCTCCTTTGCCCAAGTATCGCCCCCCACCTCCCGTACCTACCACGAACGTTCTGGAGGTGGAGAATAATAATAAGATTATTTTGAAGGTACGATTACCAATTCGAAAAATTCGAATTCCAAATTTTTTCATCCTTTAAAGAGATATATTAAATTCTAAAACCAAGATTATTATATATCAATTCTTATAAAGATTTCCACGTTGATCATTTTAAACACCTCGATAAAATCTATAAAATCAATCTATAAATGGCAGAGAAACGAATTTTCCGAATTGAGGATATCATAAATAAGATTCGCACAAAAATCATCAAGGAGGAAAAGATACCTGCTCTCGAAATTTAAGCTTTAATTTTCTTGATCATCCTGTTCATTTCTGCAGGTGGAGCCCATCAAATCTCCCATGGAGACGCCGGCTACGAACGGCACGACGCCTTCCGACACATCGAGCGCGGGCGCCCCGGCGCCGAGCGTGAAAAGACTGAGATGCGCCAGCGTGCCCGTGGCGCAGAACAAGGTGGTAGTGCCACGGAGCGCTGTTTCATTGCCTTGCATGCCTATACGCGACAGCAAGGACAGCCTTAGCAACAATCTTCCCGTCATTCCGAACCCGCTCAGCCCGCCGTCCAGCAGACCAAGCAGCCCGACAACCAGCTCCAGCTCCAGCAACCTGACGTCCGAGTGTTCCGGTTGGGTGAGCAGCGGGGACACGTCGAGCTCGGAGCAGCGCAGGAACGCGAAGCTGTCGAGCGAGCAGCTTCGCCAGAAATTATCGAGAATCGTGCCGAGGAAGGAGAGACCACCCCCGACCAAGGAGAGCGTGGAGGAGCACTCGTACGAGGAGGTGCGCCTCCCTCCGCCGAAGATGTTCCAAGACGAGCCACCGCCCCCCGAGGAATTCCGCGATCCCCCTGCCATCATCGACAATCCTCTTTACCACGTTTACGAAACGGTGAAACCGGTCAGGAGCCCGAAACAGACGAAAACCGCCCCCTGCAGCCCTCAGAAGAATAGAGAGAGGGAGAGGGAGAGGGAGAGCAGAGATCCTCCGTACGGGGCCAGGGATATTTGTTTGGATTGTTATCAGGAGGGGAAGGAGATGTTGCAATCGACACAGGACGAGGCGATTAATTTCAAGAAGTGCAAGGAGGAGTTCAAGAGGCAGATGAGTTTCTCGGGGAAGATATACAGGTGCGTTGTTGATTGGTGGTTTCAAACGTTTTGGGTGGGACTTCGTTGAGTGTTATTTCGTTGAGTGCGTTTGTATTTTGAAAAGTTTGCAGTTTGCAGTATATAATTAACTTGTTTAAAATAAAATATTTCATTCTTTCTATGTGTTTTTAATATTGGAGAAGTCTTATTGGACAGAATCGTTGAGGAAACAGATTTTTTAAAATATACTGAAGATTGTATGCATTCGTTGGCAGGCTGCGAATTTTTCAAATTGCTAATTTATTCGTGGTGTATCGATAAGATAAGAAGAAGGAATTAAATGCAATGCGAAATCTAATTTCAGAAAGTTTAGAACGACTTGTGTTTTCTAGAATAGAATATCCTGATGCTTCACCAGTATTACAATTAATTTTGCTGAGAACTTAGTAGCGCGCATCGTTGCCCAAATATTAGTCACTTGCAACTTGCTAGGAAAAATATGAAAAGATTTACGACCAGTCAAAATCCTATGGCCTCTGAATAGCTCCTTCGTTCCCAACACCTGTCGTTTTCACTCTTCGAGAGAATTATCAAGTAGTATCGTGCAATTATTATTATTTTCGCTGTTTCCTTCCTCCTTTGTTCGCAAACATCCACAAGGCTGTACTCGACCCGCTTTCTTTGAGTTTCGACGATAGCTTTCGTCTGTCTATTTGTGTTTTTTCGTAGTTAAGTTTCTCTTTGTCTACCTATCCTCTCTAGAGAACGAAAGGAAGCGCAGTTGCGTTTCCATAAACGTGCCCATTCCTTTGGATATGGTGACTTCCTGACCCCGTCGTCGGTAAAACCTCTAAGATCGAATGTGCCTCTTAGTGATTATCCAACCCTGGCCTCGACCATGCCGTACTTCCACATCAGCAACGAGTATCGGCTCTTCTCGCCGGAAGGTGCCCACCTCATCATCTGTGTCCATGGTCTCGACGGCAATCCAGCTGATCTTCGTTTGGTCAAGACGTACTTGGAACTCAGTCTTCCCGGGGCGCATCTAGATTTTTTAATGTCCGAGAGAAATCAGGTGAAGATTTTCAAAATGAATCCCTTTCATTTCCGGTTTATTCGTCCTTTTACACGCGTTTAAAGGATTTTCGTCGAGGTAACAATTGAAGCAAAAGGGGGGGATGGCAAATCGAAAGCTTTTTATTATATTCTTTTGAAAGAAAAACTTGGAAAGGATATTACACTTGTGCCTTTTTTGCATAGAAAGATTGCACAAAAAGCGAACCAGAATAAATTATTATATATTATTTTTATGTTTGTTGAAAAGGGTGATACTTTCTCGGATTTTGATACGATGACCGATCGATTGGTAGCCGAGATTCTCCATCACATTGAGACATCGGGCCTGAATCCAACGAAAGTGAGCTTCATCGGACATTCTTTAGGGACCATCATCATAAGAAGCGCTCTGACGCGGCCTCAATTACGACCGCTTCTTCCACGTTTACATACCTTTCTCAGCCTAAGCGGTCCACACTTGGGTACACTGTATAACACCAGTGGATTAGTTAATGCAGGTAAGCTGCATTATCTAAAATCTTGAATCGTTTCTTATTTTTTAAAAAATTTTATAGCATTTTTTAAAATCAAAATAATCGTACGTGTATTAAAAATATAAGAATAATATAATGATATTATTGATGATATATTGCCATCAAAATTATTTTCCTACTTACGAATCTTTTAGTACAATAGATTGTAGATGAAACACTCTTATTCTTCTTTTCCCTTTCTTTTTTTTTCTCATTCTACGAAACATCAAAATATTAATATTAGTATTACAAATTTTTATCGATCCTTAAAAATTAAATTTAAAAATTCTTATAGAATATCAATTGTAACACCGATAATAAAAAAACATATTATTATTAAAACTGTAAAACTTGTTCCATTTCAAACTTATAATTTTTATTATAATTATAATTTTGATCTCGCTTGATCACAATTTAAATGATAAAATTACTTAGAAGAATACTTTGAATAGAAAGTTGTACACGATAAGCAATATCATCAATAAATCCATAAACCACAGATATATTTTCAAATATTCGTAATGAAATCCTGTCCAGGTATGTGGTTCATGCAGAAACTGAAGAAATCCGGCTCGTTGTTACAATTGGCCATGAAAGACGCGTCGGATGTCAGACGATCGTTCATGTTCCGCCTCAGCCAGAAGAGCAATCTCGAAAAGTTCAAACACGTCCTCCTGTGCGGTAGCGCGCAGGATCGATACGTGCCTCTTCATTCCGCTCGTATAGAGCTGTGCAAAGCCGCTGTGCGGGATTCGACCGATCAAGGTAATCGACGTTTATTTTTCATTTATGTCCCGATAATACGATTTTATTGAATGGTCAATCCCGAGTGAACATCGTTGGATAAAAGAAGCTCCCATCGAGAAATCTTACGTAGATTCCTATTCGTCTTCTCTCTCTCTCTCTCTCTTTTTTTATCAAAGAAATTCTTCTGTGAAAAGGAAGAAATGTATTGGACCTTTACGTCGAGGAACCGAATTGCGATTTCTTATATTTCTTCTCATATTTTGTAGATATCATTCGTGAAGATGAAATTTATTTTCGAGATGGGATTAATCTCTTGGAGATTATTATTTAATTTGAAGAAATTTTCTATCCAATTTATTTTTACATTTTGATTAATAGGAAATCAATAGATTTTCATGCAAAAATTATTTATTATTGTATTGTATTGTATTATCTCAATTTAAATTTTAATATAAAGTAATATAAAGTATCTATGTAGGTTTGATCCTTTAAAAATATTCAAATAATTAAATTCATCGTTGAACGATATTTATTAAATAATAAAATTTTATTATATAACTGTAGCAAATTGAATTCCTCGTTCTTATTTTCATCATACGGTATGTTATTCCAACATTTTTAATTTATCGATACAAATATAAAAATATCTAAATATCTTGTCCTTTTCCTACAATAATCACTCAAAATTATATCATTATTTATCTGTTTTATCATTCTTTAAGATGCTAAAAGTATCAATATCGATCCACATTTTATATTTCGACAAAACACAAAAAAAATCATTAATTTTCAACCTTTTTACAGGCGCAGCATATCGTGAAATGGTGCACAACATCCTCTACCCAGTGATGTCCTCCTCGGGGGTGAGTCTGGTCAGGTACGACGTGCACCACGCGTTGCCGGCTACGGCTAACGCGCTGATTGGCCGAGCCGCGCACATCGCCGTCCTCGATTCCGAGCTTTTCATCGAGAAGTTCCTGCTGGTCGCCGGTCTGAAGTACTTCAGATAAGGAATGGACTGCCTAGCAACGCAAAAGAGTGAATCGTTAGAAATAGAAAAATGAAAACAAAGAAGAAAAGAAGAAGAAGATAGTCAAGGAAGAGAGAAAATAAAAAAAAACCTAGTCTAATAATAGCGAATTATTAGCAGCAGGGAGAGATAAAGAAAAAGAAGAAGAAGAAGAAGAAGAAGGAGAAGAAAAATAATAAATAGATAAAATAAAATAAAATATCGAGAGCGGATTCTCGTAACTCTCCGTGTCGTCTTCGATCGCATTAGGATTAAATTAACCCTCGTCCTGCTCGACAATTGCCCCGCTTCTCCAACCTTGAACCGATTTAATCGATCCTCCTCCGCGACGCTTCGCTCCGTTTCTCTTCTTCCAACGATCCGCACTGATCGTTAGATCGATCGGGAGCGGGGCAATTCGACGTTTTTACACGATAAAAAAAAAAAAAAAAAAAAAAA